CATCAGGGCTCAGTTTTATTTATTAAGTTTGTGAAAAACATCCAAAAGAGTTTGTCATCCCTTACACAGGAGAAGACAACCACAGGATACCAATGACAGCAGCCTATCACAACAACAAATGTTTTCTTCTTCTTTTTTTTTTTTGTCTTGGGTTTATATATTTTTAATCAAATATTAGAAAATTTTAGAGATTAATTATTTTTTTTTCTGATGGATATTTTATTAGTTTATTATTTCTATACATAGTCTTAAAGTATATTCTGGCGTGCAGTTAAGTTAACCTGGAAACAATTTGGTGCTTTCTAAGCTTTCTAGTTCTGTTAGGCTAGAACAGAGTAGCCTTTAGTTCAGGGGTAATTTTGTCATGCCCCCAAGGCAGTATCCTGTGGAGAGCTGTACCCAGTATCCCACACTGGCTGGTGGGAACACAGGTATTCCTGACACAAAGTATAAACCTGGGGATTGGTTCCTCTAATCCTTTTAGGAAGCTTCTTTTTCAGCCTTCAGTTCTTTTCTCACACGAATGCACTGATTAGTATTCAGCTAAAGACTGTGAGGGTCCTTCTGCAGATCTCTGGAACTCTCTCTATGGACAGCCCCCTCCTATCTGGATTCTGCCCCAGAAACTCCAGTCACCTCAAGCTACCTGAACTCCCAATTCAGGGAGAATTCTTGGCTCCACTCAGGTTCCATTTCTCTGCACTGTGACCTGGAAACTGACCCCAGGCAGTAACTGCAGCAATTGTAAGGCTCACTCTGTTTTCCTGCTCCGCTGGCTCTCTATCCTCCATTGCCTGTTGGCCGATGTTTAAAAAGCAGTATTTAATATATTTTTTATATGAAATTTTGTATTTTGTAATTTTATTTGTATTTTTAAATTTGTATTTTGTAATTTTAATTGTTTCAGGTGGGAGGGTAAGTCTGAATCTGTTACCCCTTGGCTTGAAGCAGGAGCCATTTGTCACTCTGTAATTTGGTTTCCTTTATGGTCTTGCAACCTCATCTATCTAATAGGCTTAAAAAGAGTTACAATCTTATAGATGATTTAGTTTGTTCTGGTGTAGAAATAATGTTGTCTTGAGGCTCTATATCCTCAGCAAAAGTGAAAGCTTTAGTAAATACACATTTAGCTTTCAACCAATTAAAGATAACTCTGTATTCTGCATTCTGCTGTGGCTTGGTTTATATAAAGGATGGTGTCTTACTCCATTTTGCATGGCTATAACAGAATAACTGAGATATTCTGTTTATAAAGACCAGAAATTCATTTCTCACAGTTCTAGGGGCTGCGAAATCTAAGGCTTAGGTGCTAGCAGGTTAGGGCTTCTTGCTGGGTCCTCACATGGTGGAGAGAAGGGTAAGAGAGAACTCTGTGCCCTCACATGGCAGAAGAGTGGAAGAGCAAGCTAGCCACCTAGCCAAAGGCTGCACAAAGCCTCTTCTATAAGAGCCTTAACACCACTAATGAACGAGAAGCCCTCATGACCTAATCCCCTCTTGAAAGCCCCACTTCCTAATAGCATCACCTTGGCAACACCTGAATTTTGGAAGGTACACATGAAAACCACGGCAGATGGCATTATCATAATGCAGATGGCATTATCGTAATTCCAACACAGCAGATGGAATACCTGTGTTCCCACCAGCCAGTGTGGGATACTGGGTACAGCTCTCCGCAGGATACTGCCTTGGGGGCATGTGTATAGGGCCATAGTTATGTGTATGTTATGTATAGCAAAGTCAGAAAATATTGAAAAGACTTGACATTTAAAATAAGAAAAAAATATAAGATGATGCCGTTTCTTTTCTTTCTTTCTTTTTTTTTTTTGAGACAGAATCTCGCTCGTTGCCCAGGCTGGAGGTGGAGCGCAGTGGCGCCATCTCGGCTCACTGCAAGCTCCGCCTCCCGGGTTCCCGCCATTCTCCTGCCTCAGCCTCCCAAGTAGCTGGGACTACAGGTGCCCACCACCATGCCCGGCTAATTTTTTTTGTATTTTTATAGAGACGGGGTTTCACCTTGTTAACCAGGATGGTCTCGATCTCCTGACCTCGTGATCCGCCTGCCTTGGCCTCCCAAAGTGCTGGGATTAGAGGCGTGAGACACCGCACCCAGCCAATTTGGGCCATTTCTAATTGAAAAGTTCGGGCAAGGTACTGCTGGTTAATGACATTTCAGGTAGCAGAAAATATTAAAAAAGTACGAGAGTTGAGATTTTCTCAATTTTATACCCTGCTTTTTGACTTTTCTAAAACTACTTAGTTTCAAGCAATTTAGCATTGCTTGATATCACAATGAAGATATCAAACAGCAACCATAAAGTAAATGCGCATTTGTTCTTTTTTCAAAAGTAGGAAAATGGCAGCAGTTTTATTTAAAATTTTAGTGATTATTTTGAAGCTGATAGAAATACATACTTCACATCTATATCCACTTCTAGGTAAAAAAATTTATTTTTCCTTCCAATTCTATTTTGTCTTCCTCACCTGGGCTGATTCGCATTTTAAAACTTGTCTCTAGGTTGACATGTCATTGTCCTTGACTACTTTCCCATTCTGTGGTGTCCATTTATCATCTTTGGTTCTGTTTAGAGGTACATTAAATAATAAAACGGCATTACTGGGGGCATCTTCGGACATTTTAGAAGTAAGCTGATTCGTCCCTGACCTCATTAGGTATTCATAATTTCTGAGGGAAGTGGGTTAAATATTCCTAAGGAGTTATACATTCCTCCTTGCCTTGGTGGGTTAGGGACAGGCGATGTCTAAGGACTACGCTGAATTGATGAAACTCTTTCCTTTCTAGCTCTGTCCTCCTGGTTAGAAATACAGGCAGGACAACTGAACTATTTAATTTACGTTTTTAAAGTAGGAAAAGCAGAAAAGATCTAACACATTTAAAATTGCAGAGGTGGTAGAGGGAGTAAGAATGTCATTTCCCCAGTTCTGTGGCCATTCCTAATCATGAGAAAATTGCCGGAGGATTCTTAATGGGCATTAGCGACTTAAGACTCTGATTCCACACACCTCACAAGGCAGCCTGCTTCCGCAGAATTAGAAATGGGAGTGTCTAAACCGGCTTCCTGGTGATTTTAATGACAATCTAAACCCTGGTGATTTGAAAAGAAAATGAACCCTGAGACTGCAAATATCAGCTGTAGTGGGAAAGGACAAAGCACTAAAATTATGGAAAGTTGACTCACACACCCTTTAGAAAGAAGTCCTTGTACTATGACTTACCAGAAGTCAGGAAGACTCTATTCAAAAAATGATGGCTACACTTGGCAGTTATTTTACTTGTATGATCCATGAGGTCATAGACCAAAGAAATATGGCCATGAGCAAGTCAGGGATTTATAGTAGAGTGATTGAAGTAGTCAATCAAAATGAATATTTAATGTGAGCTGGGCTGATCTGGTGCATGTTGTACATTCCAAGATGTGTTTTCTGAATAACCAAGTGATTTAAATTCCTGGGAGACTTTTTTGACAACAGTGATTTTAGGCATGCCTTAAGAAAGGTTTTTGTTTTCCAAAATGATTATTACTTGGCACAAAAAATTTGTCAGAAAATTTAGCAGCATTCTAGTCCTTTGAATATTATTATGCATCTTCTTTGTTTATTTTTTTTCCTTAGATCTTAGCTTTACTCACACTTCCCACTTTGAATAAGCAAACTGGCAAGAAATACCAAGTTTTTTAGCTTTTACCTATTATTGTGAATAATCCTTAACACTGAATGGATTTTTTAAAGAATGACATATCTTTCACAATAATGTACAGGTTAGTGTTATCTTTTGAAACAGAAACTTTAAATATGAAATGAATATAAAGATAATAGAACTTAAGAACAATAGCTTTAGAAGAGATTTCTTACCCACAACAAAATACCTGGTTGTTTATTTTTTAATAATAATATTTATTATTTTAATATTTGTTGTTTGTTATTTTGTTTCTTACCAACAATAAAATATTTCAAGTCAGAATGTCAGTTTATTAGTCCTTAATGAGAATTAACTATCAAAATGATCAGATATCTGTCTTATTGACTTAGGAAACTATAACATCAACTTACTGATGATCTGCTTATCCATATGGTTTCCTGAATCAATAAGGTAAGTGCTGATAGGTGCTGGGTCTGTTTGTTCTCACATTGGTTCCTTGGTTTTCTCTATGTCTTTTCTCTGTGGCGGGGGAGCTGACTCCTGGAATCTGTGCTCCTTAGATTAAGATAGGAGGAGAAAAAAATAGAGTGTGTTTTGTAATCTGGCTCTGGCTCAGGTAGCTTCTTTGGTGCTCGCTGAGTCTCCTGCCTGGTTCTAACGTCCATCAAGTGCCCTGGCCATGAGGGTCCAGTAATACTCCCTCTTCCCTTTAGCCCAGAGGTGTCCATGGTTCCTTGAAGTTGCAAATCCTTGAGTTTGCCTCCTAACTCCTCCTTAACTTCTAACAATTCCAACTGTGTGACCAATTCCTGTATTGTATTTCTTGTATTTTAAATACCTGCTAGTGTTTTTTTGTTTTCCTAGTTGAACCTTGAAAGATACAGTAGGCAAGGAATGAGATAAAAGGAAGCTGGTTTTATGATTCAAATGTTTAATGCTATTTGACTTGAAAAGCATCAGGCTTGGGAATTACCTGAAGTATGTTAGGATTCATTCTGCTTAACTCAAGGGTAACCTGAAAAGATGAAAACATTTAGAAATCTTTCTGAAATGTCTTTTTCTCTCTCCTGCATTAGAAAGCAAAGCTGTATTTCATTTATTCTCTTTCATATTTTAGATTCTAGTAGTGTTTCTCAGAGTATCTAGGACCAAGATATTGAAATAGAATCTGTAGATGGTTGGACTAAATATGATTCATCGTTAGGATGCAACTTTGAGGCAGTTTTTAGAAACCATCTGCTATAGTTTGAATATGTTTTGTTTGTCCCCACCAAATCTTATGTTGAAATTTGCTCTCCAGTGTTGGAGGTGGGACCAATGGGAGTTGTTTGGGCCATGAGGGTGGATCCCTCATAAATAGATTAATGCCCTCCCCGGAGTGGGGGCATGAATGAATTCTCTATTAGTTCCCATGAAAACCGTTATTAAAGAAAGCCTGGCACCTCTCCCTGTATCTCTTATCTCTCTTGCTTCTTTTGTCCCTGTGTGATCTCTGGACAGATGGCTTTCCTTCACCTTTTGCCATGAGTGGAAGCTGCCTGAGATCGTCACCAGATTCAGATGCCCAATTGTGAATGTTCCAGCCATCAAAATGGTGAGCCAAATAAACCTTTTTTCTTAATAAATTACCAGCCTTTATCACAATACAAAACAAAGACACCATCCTTACCTCAGTTTTGTGTCTGTGTGTGCATCTCTAGTTTTTTATGAAAACATATCTTAAAACCATGTTGAAAAGCAAACTTACAAATAAATTTAGTTCAAAGATCTAATTGGCTTTTATTTGTGATTTGAGAATCAGGCAACATTTCTTTCTGTAAAATAGAATGGGTGTTCCACTGCACCGAGCAGAAGAGGTTGGCTTTAAAGGCGGAAAAGTACTAAGAAAGCAGAAACAGGGAACAAAAAAGCAGATTGGTACCTTCAAAGCGACTTTCCTTATATGGTTAAAATAGAGGGAACTTTCATATTGTGCTGGTTTAGGTAAACTGGGCCCCTTCTGATTGGTTGCTGTGAATCCCTTCTTTTCTGGAAAACTAGCCTGTTTCAAAGTTCAGTTTCATCATGTGGTACTTAGCATGAGTGACTCATTCTTGTTTGGCCTGGTCTGTTGGGGCCTAGTGCAGGAGTTTAGTCCAAAATCATGGCCTCACATGAATTTTATTTAGCAAGGGTAATGCATATCTCAACTTTTGATATTTATAAATATTGAATTCAAGCACACTGTTTTATCTTAAACAGAGCAGCAATACCAGGTCAGTAAGGGTTTTAGTTGTAGAATTTATTTTTGGATGGCCAAAACCTAGGTCATTTAAAAAACAGGCTTTAGAAAATACATGCAGTCATTTATTGTTTTTTAAAAATTTAATGATAACTTGCTATGAGAAAGGCATTGGAGACTCAGTGGTAAATAAAACAGATGTGAACTTAAAACCTACTGGAGAAAATAGACTTCTACAGGCAATCACAATAATGTACAAGAGAAGTTGTGAGTATATATAACAAGGGGATTTGGCTTGTGTCTTAGTCTGTTTTGTGCTGCTATAACAGAACACCTGAGACTGGGTAATATACAATGAACAGACACTTTTTTGGCTCACAGTACTGGAGGCTGGGTGGTCCAAGATCATGGTGTTGGCATCTGGCAAGGACCTTCATAAGGCAACATCTCAGGGTGGAAAGTAGAAGAGCAGGAGAGTCAAGCAGGAGATTGAACTCATAGCATCAAGCCCTTTTATAATCAGCATTAATCCATTCATGAGGGTGGAGCCTCCATGACCTAAGCACCTCCCACTGGGCCCCATCTTTCAACACTGTTGCTTTGGGGATTAAGTTTCAAACACATGCTTTTTGGGGCCGCATTCAAACCACAGCAACTTTGTCCAAAAGTCTGGGAATGTTAAGAAGTAATCAGAAGAAAAAAGAAGACCAAAATTGTCCCAGGTTATCAGAAAAGATTCATTTATCCATTCAAAACATTTAATGAACATTTATGAGTCTAGGGAATAGTTGCCAGTAGGACTAAGAGTGTTAATAAAAACACAGAAGGATGAGCTGACAAAGCAAGCACACCAAAAAGTTGGGTAATGACTTGGGTTGTATATCACAATGACGAACTCCTGACTATTATGTATTAATGATTTTTCCTCTTTTGTGCTCCCTACACAGCTTTATTTCTACAGCAGCATTTAATAGTATTTGGTCTAAGAAATTTGTTTGAGATCATTTTTGTTTTACCCATGAGAAAACTGAGGATCCAAGGGGTTAAAGGACTGGCTTAAAGTCACTGAGATTGTAAATGGTGGAGAATTAACATTGTCACAGAGTGGTGAGGAGTGAGTGTGTCATCTGAGGCATGTTCCTGAGTAGATAAGGTTTCCTATCTACCCAAAGTGAGACATTAATAGTATGAGGATTTAAATAAGATTTACAATACTTAACACAGTGCTTGGCACAGACTGCTTAATTAATGTTAGCTCTTATTTAGATAGGAATAATACAGGGTGGTTGCAGGAGAATAGAGAATTCCAGGCAGCAATTTCATGTGACTAACAGAAATGAAACTGTTCAAACAGCTGCATAAGCTAAGGGCTAATAAGACCTTGAAAAACAGGATACAGACCAAGCTGACTGTGATCAACTGGACTCAACATGGTGCTGGATTTGACCTAGGTTTTTCCTAGGACTTAATTATATGCTTATTAACATACTAAATCACACATCCACCAGTTACATAACAGTTCCAGAAACATCCATATTTGGCGTAAAAATGAGTGACACCTCAGTTCCAAGAAATCTTCACCTTTTTCCAGAAATATTAATGAATATTCTACCCTTGGTTAAAGAAACCCATAAAGGTAGAAGCCCCAGACTCCACTGGGTGCAGCTCACTTTCTTGAGCACAATCACACTCTCTTTTCTTGAGTGTGTACTTGCATTTTCCAATAAATATCCACACTTTCACTTTTTTCTGACTTGTCTTTGAATTCTTTTTCACAATAGTGTCAAGAGCCAGAACACCAGCCTAGGTCAAGGTACCACAGGCGTTTGGGGACCTCTCCTAGTTTACCAGTATTACTATTAGCTATCAGATCTATGAAACACCATTGTATTAGTCAGTCATTGTATTCTACAGAGAAACAGAACCAATAGGAGACCTATATATCTATATCTACAGCTACAACTATATCTATATATCTATATCTATAGTCATGCACTGCACAACAATGTTTGGCCAACAATATTCTGTATCTATGACAGTGGTCCTATAAGATTATAATAGAGCTGGAAAATTCCTATCACTTGGTGATACTGTCACTGTCATAATGTTGTAGTGCAATGCATTACTGACTTGTTCGTGGTGGTGCTGGTGTAAACGTACCTACTGCCCTGCCAGTTATAAAAGTGTACTGTAATATCCAGGGCCTTCATATTCACTCACAACTCATTGACTCACTCAGAGCCACTTGAGTCCTGCAAGATCCCTTCATGTTAAGTGAAAGCATATCATTTTTTAATCTTTAATATTATATTGTTACTGTATCTTTTCTATGTTTAGGCAGATTTAGATATATAAGTACTTAACATTATGTCATAATTGCCAACAATATTCAGTATAGGCATATGCTGTACAGATTTGTAACTTTGGAGCAATAGGTTAGATCATATAGCCTAGTTGAGTGATAGGCTATGCCATTTAGGTTTGTAGAAGCACACTCCATGATGTTCATATTTCTCAGAATGGATCCCTGGTGTTAAGCAACTAATAACTCTCTATATATCTGCATCTATATCATCCATATCTATTCCATCATCTATCTATCTATCTATCTATCTATCTATCTATCTATCTATCTAGTCTATTATCTATCCATCTCTCCATCTAGGTAGATGATTTAGTATGAGGAATTGACTCATGTGATTATGGAGGCTTAGAAGTGCCATCATTACCATCTGCAAGCTGGAGACACAGGAAAGCTGGTGGTGTAATTCAGTTGGAGTCAAAAGGCCTGAAAACCAGAGGAACTTATGGTATAAATTCAAGTCTGAGGGGAGGAGGTGAGATACGATGTTCCAGTTTAACCAGCAAAGCAGGAAAAAAAAAAAGAGTCAAATTCCTTCTTCCTCTGCCTTTTGTTCTATTCCTGCCCTCAGGGATTGGATGATGCCCACTGTCATTGGGTAGGGCAATCTACTTTACTGAGTCCACAATTCAAATGCTAATCTCTTCTGAAAACATGCTTATACACACACCCAGAAATAATGTTTCTGTGGATATCCCATAACCTAGTCAAGTTGACACATAAAATTAACCATCATTAGAGACCATCCATTCTCTAAAGGCTCTTTCAATACATTTCATTCGATCCCAAAGACAACACTGGGAAGGGGAAAGGTAGGCATAACCATTCTCATTCTAGAGAAAAAGAAACAGAATCAGAGACATTAGTGATTTTCTCCAAATAGCACATATAGGCATTGAGATATGATGGAACACAGAATCTGATCTCCTTAACTTCAAGTCAATTGCCTTTCCCATGCAATCAAGCTACTACTCATTGCACTATAAGCAGTTACGAAAACATACCTCTCTATTGCTAGACTGGATTAGACTGCTTCTTTACAGGATTGTATCTCTTACTAGGCCTCTTGCTTTTTGAAGCCAGAACTGTTTTATTCATCTGAGGTGTTCTCATAATGCCTAGCACTGACACAGGGACACAGAGGGTGTTCCATAAACACTTGTCAAGTGAAACTAACTTGTCCCACCTTTCCAGATTGAACCAATGTTCATCTTACATATGTTGATTGATGTCTCATGTCTCCCTAAAATGTATGAAACCAAACTGCTCTGACCACCTTGGGCACATGCCATCAGGACCTCCTGAGGCTGTGTCAGGGGTGCGCATGTTCAACTTTGGCAAAATTCACTTTCTAAATTAACTTGACCTCTCTCGGATATTCGGGGTTCACAATAGGAACTGCAACTTCCAAATATCCATTAGTATCCCACAGCAAATCAAAAAGATTTATTTGTTTCAGACCTTGGGTGGAGCAGCCTCCTCGCGTTATCCATTATGCCTGCTTCTGATAAGAAGGGAGTGGGATGTAGACATGGCCAAGGCTAAGCTCCGGCCTTCTCTCTTCCTCTTGTTTTTGAGGGCTGAAAGGGGTTGGGCACACTGAATGCTCCTTGGCTCTGCTCACCCTGAGTGAGATTGCTAATCAAATGCAGGGCAAACCAGGAAATGGTTTTCCTGGGAACAGAGAAAAATTATTCTTTAGTCCGTAGTGCAGAAATCATGAACTTCAAGCATTGTGATGGTTACACAGCCCCTTTTCATTAAGATGTAAATAACATTCAATTATGGAAGCCACATGTTATGCTTTGACAGAGTCATTTGTGAAAAGCCAGCAGAGGAAAAATCTGCATGAATATGCCACAGGGCCGTTACCCTGACGCTTAGAATGATTTCTGTAAAAGGTCTTATACAATGGTAATTTTATATCTCAATCATATGCTATTAAGGTATAGTAGATACCTAGTAAAAGATGCTCTGGATTTCCTCTGAGAGTGAGAGATAGAGAGAGAGAGAGAGAGGAAATGTGTGTGTATGTGTATTTATACATGTGGCTGCACTTAGATGTTTGCATAGGAGTTAGTTTGGCCTTGAGAAAGTGCAAGGAGCATGTTCATTGCCTGTCTGAGGATACACCGTATTTTAATTCCCTGGAGAATCAAAGCAGTTTCTAGTGGGTATTACTCTTCCTCCAAGTAATACAAATCTTTTCAATGAGCTTTACCCATATTATAACAGCAAATAGTAACCATGAAAAATTTTACCCTTAAAAACAAAATAAAAAAAAAAAGGTCTTATTATTAGGAGCAATGTACTTCAACAAAGGAAGAAACTATATCAAAAGTATGGATACACTGATGTTTGCTATGCATTAGGGAAATAAGATAAGTTGGTTCCTTTGAGATGTTTAATTCCATTTGATAAATTATATGGCCTAGTAGAAATAGCACTTGCACATTGACAACTTTGCTAATGCCTACTCCACTTAGCTGTCATGCATAATCACATGTATGAATGACTTCTTTGAATAGACCTATTCCTGAGAACATAATTATAGGACATTATATTTGTGGTAATTACCATATTCTTTGAGAGCATCTTACATAGCACATCCTTTGACTTGTTTAGTTTTAAGACTTTTCTTTCATGCTTTCAGTTGGAAAATGATTAAAGTAGGGCTTTTGTCCAAATGCAAATAGAGCTTATAGTTGATAAAAATTACTAAATTTGACCGTGCAGTGCTGCAGCCTGTAAGATGGTACGATGGTTTATTGTAGGCGTCAACTCGACTGGATTAAGGAATACTCAGCTGGTAAAGCACTATTTATTCTCAATGCTTCACTGGGCACTGAGCCTGCCTCTCTTCTACTGAAAGGAAAAGCCAGGAGATTTTGCCTTTGATTAGAACAATTGGTCTGCCCAAGGTGTGTATGTGAGAGTGTTTTAAGAGGAGATTGTTGTGTGAGTCAGTGAGGATGAGGACATCCCTGCTTCATCCAGTGGAAGATCCACCCTCATCATGAGTGGGCACTATACAACTGGATGGGGGCCTGGACAGAACAAAAAAGCAGAGGAAAGGCACATTTGCCCCCTCTCACCCTTCTGCTGCTCCTGAACATCAGAACTTCAGGTTCTCCAGTCTTTGAATTCCTGGACTTGCACCAGTGGTGCCTGGGTTCTCAGGCCTTCAGTCTCAGACTGAAGTTCACCATTGCCTTCCTTGACTGGAGGCCTTTAACTTGGACTCAGCCATGCTATCAGCTTTCCTGGTTCTCCAGCTTGCAGATGGACTGTTGTGGGACTTCTCAGCATCCATAATGAGTGAGCCAATTCCACTAATAAATCCTTTCTTATCTCTCTCGTTCTATCTGTTCTATCAGTCTGCATGGAGAAACCTGATGCAAACAGATGGCAATCCTTTCTTGATCACTTTGTGTATTTGCCTTCTTTATTTTTGTTCAGATGATACCAATGAATTGTGGATCACTCACTGTGAGGAAGATCATGGATTCTATGGATAAATGAATCCTGAGTTGTTTGAGAACGAGAAACAGGATGGTGATCCCTTTCTAAAATCTATGAGTCTTTTTATTTCAATTCTTGCCTCTTGATGCAGCTTGACCTTAGATAGCTCATAATCATGGGCAACAGTGCTGATGAAGTAAGAATGAAGACTGATATGAGGAAGTCAAAGGCTCTCTCTTACCCCGTGTTCAGGAGATGAAAAGCCCTAAGAAGAATGAAGAATTAAAGACATGACTGTAGAAATAGCACCCAAATGTGTCAGAGCTTTTATCTGGAGTTCTTTTTTGAGAAAATCCTTGGTTTTTACTCCCTCACCTTCTTCCGTGTTTGATCTTTCTGGCTTCTGAGTTTCTGGCTTAGTTCAAATGAACTGTTTGGCTGTGAATCTTAGACACCTCCAGTCTCCCTCACATATCTCCTCCCATCTGCCTCATTGTTTTTAATCCATTCCAGCTTGATTTATTTTTACCACCTGATTCCTGTCTTTGGCATCACTTGTCACTTATCTCTGTCTGCTTATGCTTAAGCATATTTTGCTAATGTGAGGTAAAGGAAAGACCATGAGCTTTGGGATTTAAAATACCAGAAACCAATTACTAACGGTGTGACCTGGAATAGTCTCTCTGAGCTTCAGTTTCATTTTCATTAACTATGAAAAGAGGATAGTAATACCTTCCTGTTAGGGCAGAAGTGAAGGACTAAAGAGTTAACAGTAGGAAAAATGCTTCTAACAGTGTCTGGCACTTAGTACTTGCTCAATGCATGTTGCCTTTATTCCTATCTCCTGACTTCCACTTGGAGACATCCCTGTGTCATCTAACACTAAGAAATCCTACTGACCTGACAAATGTGGCTTGGAGATGATGACATTGTGACAAGATGACCAGCGATGCAGCATCCTATTTACATCCTTTAAATTGTCCTCTCCTTCCACACTTCCTTCCAGCACCTGTCTACTGTTATTAGCTAACGACTTGTTAACAGTTATCAGTGATCTGTCTCTCCTGTCTACTGTTATCACTCCTGGCAGAACTCTAAAGAGGAAAAAGAAAGAACCAATAAAGGTATAATCTGAGATTTGTTGGGACCCACTAAAATAGTGGAAATCTTCAAAAGTGGGCGCCATCTTAATTTTAACGCCACCACCAACATTAGAGCTTTATACCTTACACTTTTTCTTTCCCTATTTTCAGAATTCTTGTCAATGGTGCTTTACTCTCATGTTCCACCAAATCAGGAAATCAGTGGTTTTTACTTTCTTTAATTCTTTGTAATACCTTTTGCTGAAACCTGATGGTTTTCCTTCTATGGCTTTGCTTTCACCAATTTTGTCGTAAACTGTGATTTAGACTCTATTCTGTCATAAATAGCTAATTTTGACTTTTTCCTAGTCAATGACTCACTGATTATCATCAAAGAATGGCCATGGCCAATTTTCCTGCCAGCAGGATTCATGTTTCTTTGGCTCTTTATCTTTTATCTTCTGTGGTCTCAGCTTTAAAGACTCTAAGAAGCATAGAAGCCCTGGGTGTTGGAAACCCCTTTAACATCTTTAAATAATCTACATGATATCCTTACTATGTGGTCACCTGGCCCAGCTTTGATAACCCCAGTTATGATATAAACACTGACTCTCAAGGCATCAACAAATTCCACATTTAGTTGGCTTTGATATTTAGAAAGCTGTCTTTTCTGTTAACTCTTCCTTTGATCTCAATTTTGCTCCTTGCAGTCATATGGATAAAATGTGGCTTCCACTTCTAAACCATTTACACCTTTCAAAGGCAGCTATGTTGTCCCTGGTACACACTCTTCCCATACCAACATTTTATTTACCAAGATTTCCATTTACTCCAATCATCTGTAAAACCTGTTAATATTTGTTACTGCACAGTTATCACATTTGTCATGAAGTTAGGAACTTGTTTTGCTTTATGGTAATATCAGAGAAATAATGATCACCAAAATAATCTACCCTAGACTTCATATGTTAGAAACAAACAACAACAAAAAGAAACTCATGTTCTGAGAATTCCTATGTAATGGAATGTTTATATGAAATGAGAGCTTTGTATACCCATCTCTATTAGTCCGTTGTCATGTTGCTATGAAGAAATATCCAAGACTGGGTAATTTATAAAGGAAAGAAGTTTAATAGACTCACAGTTCTGCATGACTGTGGAGGCCTCAGGAAACTTACAATCATGGCAGAAGGCACCTCTTCACAGGGCAGCAAGAGACAGAATGAGTGGGGAGCAAAGGGTAAAGACCCTTGTAAAACCATGAGATCTTGTGAGAACTCACTCACTATGAAGAAAACAGCCTGGTGGAAACTGCCCCCATGATTCATTTTCTCCACCTGGTCCCACCCTTGACATATGGGGATTATTACAATTCAAGGTGAGATCTGGGTGGGGACACAGAGCAAAATGTATCATCCTCTATACCGAATTAATATGTAATGATTACTTTGGGAACAGCCTGGCATATATATGAACAAGAGGATGAGTGGTACAATTTTTGAAATTACTAACGTGCCTTTTTACCTTTTAGGTTCCATGACGTTTGCTCCAGATAACGTGAAGCAGCCATCTGCCTGAAGGAGGAGGAGAATTTATTATAAAGAATGATGAAGAGAAAGAAGCAGTAAATATATAACATCTGACATACACAAACAGGATTAAAGCAAAATAAAAGCATTATAAGCCAGACTATGATCTTGAGAGATGATTTTCCAAACCCTTTCTACTCCCTTCTCCAACATATCAGATATTAAACCCAGAGGATCCCATAGCAGAGAAGTTACCTTTCCATCCATGACAGCAAAGCCATGTGTCTGAGAGAGACAGCATATAGAAGTAAAAACAAGGCCCACCTCTTTTCTAGCCATCAGAAATGATGACGGGAAGGGGTCACAGAGAGAGAGAGAGAAGGAGTACATTGATGGGATGTGTTCCTGTATTTCCTCTCTCTGGACTGGGGAGAGTAGACTCAGGACGCGCATTGTGAAGGAGGCAAAAGGAGGAGGCTTTACTTCCTGACCCCCTTTTGGGGATCTGCAAAGAGAGAACCTCCCTAACTTTTCCTGTACCAAACATACTTTCATTCTCTTCACAGTGCAGAGCTTTTAGGGAGCCAGAGGACCCTAGGGTTAGCATTTCTGAGCCACTCTCAGATCCCAAGGAGTTTGAGTGCAGAGCCTCGGAGACTGCTTTGGTGTCTGCTGAGGTCTAAATAGCAGAGGCTAGCAGGGGATTTCAGGGTTTTGGAGCCAGCACACAACAAAGTGAGACTATTTGTTCAGGGAGGACACTGGGCTGTGAACAAGTTGGGAGAGAGAAAGAGACCAGCTGCAGACTCCAGCCACAAACGTAGCAGCCAGATGAACAAGACAACATCATGTAGGAGACTGGAACACCATGCTCAAGGTTACTGGGTCTATTCATTCACACTCTTCTCCCCACTCATGCACTCAGTTGCCTTCTTTCAGAGATAAGTAGGGGGAGGCAGAGGAAATCTGAGAGACTGAGATTCTCTCTCCAACAAGAAAGATTGAATATTGCCTGAGAGGACTGTTCAAGTTATTAAATCAGACTAGCCTTAAACTGGGTTAGATATCCATTAAGAATTTTCCCTTTAACCAGAGAATGAGGACTCATGAAACAACCTCTAAACAAGCAAAATACCACTTTCTCTGCATATCCAAGTTGCGCAAGTTAAAAATTTTGACCCCCATTATGTATTGACTCTCCCCCAAAGACCTCTAATGATAGTTGAAGGAGGGAGAGACATTGTCACAGTGATTTGTCACCTGAAGTTTACTGATGCACAAAGTTAATCTCAATTTTCTATTCATGTAGGGGATTATTTGCACAGTGTGTTACATTAATTTTTCAGTACAGTTTTTATGTATTTTTATTAAAGTATACTTTTCTTTTGACATTTTAAAAGCCCTGTTGGTACTGCAATAAGCAATGCGTGCATTCATTGGTTTGATTCATGTCTCCTTCTCAGCTTACTGTTTGTGTGTGTCTTTAGTGAGAGCAGGGCAGAAAGTCCTGTTTATCCTTCGCTGTTCATTCAGTATTAATCTAGGTTTTTACATATTCCCAGGGTGTATTATTCTTTATGCTTATATGCCACAAAGCTAGGGGATCTGATAACTTTAGTGATTTCAGTGAAAGTAATTTTTAGTATTTTACCGCTGATAGGAGAGTTGAAGTTACCAAACAGTTTTCCTTTATGATATTGGTTTCAGATGCTCATTATTTTCAGAATGACTCAGATTTCTTGAGATTTACAAAGTTTTCTGAAATTTTGTTTTACTGTTAGTCTTACAAAAATAATATTCTTCATAGCTATTTTATTTATTTGTTTATTTGTGTATTCTTTGGAAAGCAAATGAATTACGTTGTGGGGTCAAAAACATGTTATGGGGGGTTTCTGGATTTTTTTTTTCAATTAAGAAAAAATTATATTTGTTGAGCCCCTACTTTCTAGCAGGCACATTGCCTGTTCTCTCGTTTAAACTTCTCTAGCTGTAGTGCTGTCCCATGGAAGTTTCAGTTCATGGAGGCTGTGTTGAATGAATGGGTTGGTGGGTGGTATCATTTTGCCAAGGAACAACTAAAGACCTTGCCTGAATTTAGAGGAATGTCTCTAAGGCAGGTATTCTGGAATTGATGAAGGTCTGGGGAGAAACGTTTTGGAGGGTGGGCCTGTCAGTGCCTCTTAAGCCATAGGTGACTGTCTATTTTACCTCTGTGTAGGGCCAAAGCAGTAGTGAACAAATGATAGAACCACAGAGAATGAAAGCACTGGTACCAGATGTGTCCTGATTCAGCTACCTCCTTCTGCCTCGGTGCTCTTGGGTAAATCACATAATCACAAAGCCCGAGTTGTACTCATCTGTAAACTGGGGATAGCAGTAGAACTTGACCTGCCTATCTCACAGACCTTGTAAGGATGAATGAGGTGATGCATGAGAATATCTTTTTCTCATAAGCATGATAAACATTGTCATAATATTTTTTTTCCTTGGCACAGCTTGGCTGCAGAGGAGATGTAGTGGTCGTAGTAGTTTTTGTTGAGGGAGAATGGAACTTACTTTTTCCAGATCTTGCCACTACCAGTCAAGTATCTAATGGCACTTTCCTTACCTGCTCCTTCACCAGATACTGTGTGTCTCATAACACCCATCTTCTTTCTCGTTCACTTTCTCTTGTTCTGGCATGTAGTAAAGCATTTGTCTGTATGGAATAAGTTCAATAGGAACTGGTTGAAGACTCAGGTGACAGAGGGCATTACTCCTGCTGGTGGTCTCCTGAAGAAGCACTCGCTGTTGTCAGAAGGATGTCCCAACTGAAGACCAATGATGTCAGTTATTTATGTTCACACTCACCTAAGTAGAGGCTGCAAGCATAGATCAACCTTTTTTTGCACAACTTCTAGTTGTTTGAATATGTCCTTCCATGTAGCCCTTTACTTTAGAAATTTCTACATCCCCCAACCTCTCCAATATCTTTGTTTCCATTGCCTCCTTTTCCATTACTTTCTTCCAAACTCTTCCCTGGGTGCACATTTTGTAGACTCAAAGGTAAGTCTCACTCTCTGTAATCTTCACTTTTTCAAAATTTTGGCCTAAGTCTCAAGTTCTTCCCATTTTCCTATTTGCCTTCACAGGCTTCTCTTCTGAGGCAATCCTACAGAGGTAGCCTAAGTGGCTGAAAGTGGGTGGGGCGTGGGGGAGTTTGAATGTCAAATGGGAAATATACTTGAGAAAATATAATATTAAAAAAAGACCCTGCCCATGTGCATGTTTGGAATTACTTACTGTGGCAGAATAAATTCATGTTAACCCACTCTCCTCTAGGTAAGAGAGTGTTTTATCATATGCCTCAGGGGTGGAATCTAGCCCATTAATTTCATGAATTTGTAAGATCTGCATATAAACAGAAACTAAAAAAGATTATGCCCAATAAGAAACTATAACCTTGGCGTGAAGATGCTTTTCGGGTGAAGTAGCCTAAACATTTCATTTCGAATTTGTGTAACAGGCCTGGTGCAGTGGCTTACGTCTGTAATCCCAGCACTTTGGGAGGCTGAGGTGGCGGATAGTTTGAGCCTAGGAGTTCAAAAGCATCCTGGGTAAAATGATGAGACCCCACCTCTACCAAAACTACAAAAAATTAGCTGGGCATGGTGGCATGCACCTGTAGTCCCAGCTACCCGGGAGGCTGAGGTGGGAGGATCACCTGGGCCCAGGAGGTTGAGGCTGCAGTGAGCCGTGATTGCACCTGTGCACTCTAGCCTCGTTGATGGAGTAAGACCTTATCTCAAAAACAGAAAAAATTGTGTATAATAGAGAATATCTTTTCAGGCCATTCTAATTCCAATCAGCCATGGTGTACCACATAAGGGCAATGAGGTTTCTTATTTATTGACCTTCACAGAGCTGCAGCACTTATTGGTTCAACTTTGACTCTGTTACCTTGATACAGTTCTATGTTTTGATTCTAGTAAGAGGAGAAATTTGTTTTAAAACATCCTAAAATTAAAGCCAACCCAAATCCTCTGAAACCTTTTTTTTTTTTTTAAATTAGTTTAACATCTTGAATTTGATTTCAGTCTCTGAGCCCACATGTTTTATTAGCTTTCCTTCTCATTATAAATTTCACACCATGGAGTAGCATGGTGCTGAGGATAACAGGAGAACAGAGATAATTAAAGTAAATTTCTCAACTATATTTAGAAATTAGGGCAAAATATGTATGAATAAAAATAAGGTACTAAATATTTAATGCTTGAAATTCAGCCCGTTGCAGTTCGGTGACTCTGACTCTTACCCATGTTTGTACTGATAAATGTTGAAGGATAGACATTTTATTGAATAGTTTTTATAAAAGGATTTCTAACATATTTTAATATAAGTTTTCCTTTCTGTAAAATAAGGCTAGATATATATCAATTTTGCAAAGATTTGCAGATCAAAATGTTTTTAAAACTGAAACATCTTTACACATAATAATGATTGCTTCCTCCCCGACACGCTGCAAGTTACTGTTTGTGCTTGAAACTTGTTAATGGATTCTGCCTTCAGTCACTAAGGTAAGTCTTAGTTCTAATGCTCTTCAAATGTCTCCCAACTTATGTTTTTTCTCTGTGTGTGAAGTCTTTTCTAGAACTCTTGAAATCGCCTGCATTTTCATAATCTGGTTTTCCAATGGAGTTTCTATTTCTGTTTTTTTCTGTCTAGCTACACGTTGTAGCACAAGGGCCAAGTCAGGCCTGTTGTCAGTGTTGCTTGTGAAAGTCATCACATTTGTTCCATCCAAATCTGAGAAATATTTGTGTCATTTAGTTAATAATAATTTATTGTATATTTCAAAATAACTGAGCTATTCAAATATTGTATATACACAAATATTGTATATATACAATATTTGAATATTAAATATATAATATTCAGTTACTGAGGGATTCAATCAACTGTAAGTAAGACTCTGTGTTAGGAATTGAAATGTTCCTAACACAAAGAAATGATAGATGCTTGAGGTGATGAATATCCCAGCTTTCTTGACTTGATCATTATACATTGCATGCTTGTATCAAATTATCACATGTATCCCCATAAATATGTACAACTTACATATCCATAATTAAAAATAATTTAAAAATTATTAGATTCTTGATCATGACATTTTTATTATCAAAACCA